CATACAAATACGTTGTCTATTTGTATGTGTATGGAGTTAACAAAGCACCTAAGGTAGCATAGACTAATTCAGCAAATTAAGATCTCATTCCACACAAAGGAGCTTACCTTTCCCCATGAGTCATGTTCACAAACAGGAGTGGGACCTCATGTCGACATGCGGCCCCAAATACACCACTAACATCCAGCTTCGTCTGCTTGTTCTTCGACCTTAATCTGGACCCGGCTTGGAAGTTGCTACAGTCCTGTATAGTAAATATAAATGCAAGCATTAAATGATAAAACTTATTTGGAGTGAAAGAGATATTTTGATTGATGAAAACACTTTCAATAGAATTTTTACCTTCCTCATCTGAAGAGCCATGTATAAGTACTATAACACGTTTCAGCCAGTCCCTTACATTACTCACAGTCAGAATTATTTCTATTGGGCCCAATTTAATTCTGTTGGATTAATGTAACAAATAGTACAGTAGTATAGTTAGCACTTACTTTCTGAATGGAGAGGCCATCTGTCAGCCAGTTAGACATAATTGGGCCACAAGCATAGAAAATATTACACCATTGTTAATTGTGATTCAAACCTTCTTGAGGTAGTACATATTTTACGTGCACCACCAGTAATACAATCTACACAGCACATGTCCTGTCACAGTTTTGTGCTTGTCATGACATCAAGTTTTGCATTGCATCTCACCTCAGAAGGTTTTGTGGCATCGGAGTAGGTTGACATGAAGCCTTGTACAGTGTCATCGTCTGCAAACATTCTGGTGCCATGATGTGGCTCCGCGTAGCTCGTGCCAGAACTCGACTTCCTCACTAATCCAAAATTGCCATCCAGCAGGATGACTTGCTTTCCGTTGCTCTGTAAGTTAAGATATATCATAGTCAAATTTAATGATGTATACACACAATAAAATATCTGAAGACCAAACAAGTTCGAAAACAATGTCAATACTTCTAAATGGCTTTCAATGAATCAACTTAACATGGCAACTAGCTATAAATTCTCTATAAAAATGATTCAGGTACCTTAGGGCATACTGGACAGCATGTCCCTTCATCCAGCTGTGGACAGACGTGTTGCAGTGTTCTTTGCTTGTAGACGTACTGTCTGAACTCTGAAATGGGTACACCCACCAGAGATCTGTACAGGCTGTTGACCTAATTTGAATGGAAAATAACCCATATGTAAAACAAGATAGAATTTTTGCTACTTTACGATTTCTTTGTGAACAGTATATCAGTGTAACAGTCTCACTGTCTCAGGGTATTAAAACCTCAAGAGTGCCTTTACATTACATGTCTGTGTTTTGGACATGTGAAGATTCAACTCCAAAAAAGTTACATTTACAGTAACATGCAAGAACATACATGTACAACATTTCTTTAGACATCAACAAGTGATAGCTTACTGGCCTGCTAATAAAATGTTGTCCAAAATGTATCAACACTAGTGAGTGACCTGTACTCATGTTTCGCACTCCAAAATATGATATAGTGCTACTGTACAATAATCAGGTCCAGGTTTAGGTCCAGACCTGGACCTGATCCTCTGAACCTGATCTGGACCTGAATTTTCTATATAGGCACACACCCTATAGTTACTAGTCAATATAAGAGTTAACATACATCATAGAGATAATGTGCAAGTTCTAACCTCTTCAAGAGAAAGGTTATTCTTCCATCTCACAGCATTGCAGAAGCCTTCCACTGAGATGTGGCATTCTAAGCTTAGCACAACAAGCCACTCCAGTAGAGACACTGAAAAGGCTGTTGCAGGTGCCTCTGTGCTTGCTGCCCACAATCCAAGCCGAAGTAGTGTGCATGGCTCAGGCTCACATGGGCAAAAGTCTACATCAATGAACACGGGGCCGTCCTGCGAAACAATTAAGTTCATCTTTTAGCACAAGGCAAAATGTAGGTGCACTCGAGACAAAAAATGTAAACCTACATGCATGTCATTGAACTCAGACCAATATGAAATACCTAACATTACTGTAAAATTTTCCCCTGTTACTACATAGTGTTGGGCTATGCAATTATTGTCAAGGTACATGTAGTACATGATAAGTCGTACCAGTAGAGCAGTGTGACTACCTAAACAAATTTTAGGTCACACGGGACTACAGGTACATGGGTTTAGGTACACTGGTTTACATACAGGTCCAGACCTGAACCTACATGTATACCTAACAATTTGAGAAAAAATATTAATAAACCTGACCCTTTTTTTTAGATGCTTAGACAAAATATGGGCAAAACTAATCTATCATTCCGGACCTACTGTAACAAATACACACCGTCCTGTCTCTAGGACCCATGTGGGTCACCAGCTATTTCCCTATTTTAGGTCACAATAAGCATATAATTAGTGTAACTCTATACAGGTATAGTACCGTACATACTGTATTTTGGACCTGTACCTAATCAATTTTCTGGTACAGTACCGGCGCAGCAATGTGTATCAGTGTTAGCCCTAGGTGTTTCCATACATGTAATGTCAAATGGCATTAAACTGGCTAAATCTTTAAAAAACAACTTTTTGTGAGTGTGAGTACCACAAAAGTTCCCACCATGTCAGAAACATTGCTGGGACACATGGCTTGGGAACAATAAATAACAATAAAACACTTCACAATGGACTTAAAAGACGTATTAATATCCATACCTGACTCATCGAACACTTTCACTGTCCTGGGCGATGATCCCGTTGTACAGGTATGGGCATCCCGACGACCAAGGCAGACTTTGTCCAAGACAGGTTGAAAGCAACTATTCTGTAACAAAAAACAATAGACTGTTGATAAGGAAATCTGAGTACCCAAACCTCTTTCAGATAAGGTTGTTTTTTTATTGAAAAGATACTTGTTTATTTAAAATTTAAAATTGTAAATTCATTGTTGCAAAATTTTGCTCATCAATTTTGTACATCATGATCATTATTATCTGCATAACACTTGCACAAAACAGACAGGTAAATTATATATTTGTGTTACATGCCAAAATTTTCTTTAATAAGGCCACACCGACTTAATTTTATGCATGACACTTGTCATACACGTCGCTTAGTACTGCCGCAAATTCACAATACTAGCTTTGTATTCCTGTGGTTTAGTAGCATTTTTATTTTTGGTTGGATTTTTTTATTCGCCTGCGCGCACTAGTTTGGGGGTCTTCAGAGGATGTCATCCCCATATCCATAAAATTAAGTCTGTGTGGCCTGATAATAACACAAATTCAATTACTAAGGTGAGGTAATATGGCACAAGATTTTGTTTGATAATATGAAGAACAGTATATGCAATTATCAAATTGACAAAATATACCATTAGCCCGGGATACAAGGTAAACCATGCATACCTTCCATATTTCTGGCAGGTGAAGGGAATTGTTGTGGTGCTGATACAAGCATTCTTTGCAGAATGTTGCAGTCGGCCCGCAGTCCTGACATCTGTAGATGGTCGTAGGCTGCTCCTCTTTGCAGATTGTACATCTAAAGGATGTTGGGGGCAGACAGCTCAGCACCAGTTGCTAGCAGGGTGTCGTGGATGGCTCTCCATCCAGCAGCTTCATCTCGTTTGCGAGCAGCGTATGAGCGTTGGCTCCGTGTTCTGTTGTCTGGTGGTGGTGGTGACGGTGGTGGTGTTGACGGAGGAGGTGGTGGCATGGTCAGGGGGTTAACCATGCCAGTACTCTCATCCATGGGCTCATCTGGATCTAGCAAAATTACAGACTTTTTGCGACCAGGTGCACAGGCATTGGTGAAGGTCATCTTTCTTTTGGCAACCTTTCGACCAAAAAGTCTCTTTTTCTTCCCCGGATACTTTGGTGGCATGCCTGGAATACAGTGTAAAAAAAAAAAACACTTGAAAATTGAAACATGTTTTTTTCTTCTGAATACATTCTGAAATGGGGCCTGGCCCAGTGCACAAATTTAAAGGCTTCCCACTATGAAATTATTCATGATCTCACATCCAACAATTTTGTTGGTTTTATAAGATTTACCCTCGGAACACTTTCACCAACACAGTCCAGACATTTGCCAGACTTGGACGTGCACCTACACCCACTAGGCGTGATGCCTATAAGGGCTTTCAGTATGAAATATATGTGGTACAGAAATATATTACGTGACGGCGTCACCCTAACTACACCCCCCTCCCCATCCCAATATGCCACACACATCTTCACAACAGTATAAATTACCTGTTTTTGATGATTTGCGATTCTTTCCGGCAACAGTAGATGCGAATCAGGCAGCATTAACCTCCACAGTGTTTTAGCTGTAGCTGTAGTTGTTTACAAAGGCGCTAAATATCTAGATATCAGAGAAGAAAAACAGGGCACGACAACGCTTCGAATTTTCGCGGATAGTACTACGCACTCTGACCCTTCCCATCAGGCAATATTGCCGGCTAATCATCCCTCACGTGATCCTGGGCGTGTTACGTCACGGCAGCTCGCCACGCCAGGCACGGGTGGGATGGTATGATCATCGCTTATATAGACAGGAGGTATACCTTGAGGTACGGAGGTACTACCTTACACCTATAACAAGCGATGGATCATGCCCGTGATTCTATGCTTATAAGCTATAATCGTGGTCGTAACGGGTGTATATTTTTACTTTTTCGTTCACGCAAATTGTCTCATCCTTGATCTGAATTGTTTATTTTTTGTACAAGTATAAACAGCCCGGCTTAAGCTTGAAAATGTGCCTTCAGCATAACTAGCCTAAATGCACTATGAACTATGTAACACCTTTAGTGCACTATGCAACCAAGTAACATCTAGTGTCAGTGCACAGTAAACCAGTCAGAATTGCCCTGATGAAGATGACAGACGGTCATCGAAACGTCGGCTTGAAAAACAAATGGTTGTGATGAAAAGAATTTTCTATTCATAATTTTATGTTGTTACCTTACAACCAGGTTGATGTGATGAGTGCTTCCGGGTCCAGTGACAACCAGCTCCACCGTAGCAAAGGTGTACTCTGACTGGAACTGAGCCACGGGCGGGATGATCACCATGAACGGGTCAGTATCCGTACCGTCAGAATTACCGGTCTTACTGGTTAGGAATTAAGAAATGAAATGAAATGAAATACCTTTATTGTACATTCATGCCACGACGGGCTAGGTACATGTCAAGATCTAACAGACACATAACAAACGCATATAGAAAATTGGAGACAAGAGATGCACTACTTGACTTAAACATACATACATAAGGAACATACAAGGGTAGGCTAATACAAAGTGTTCTAGTAACTGAGCTGCTATAGAGAGGTAAACTTCTTCTCGCTTTTTTTGTACAGTGTGGGAGCAGATCATGTTTGTGATACATGGTTTGTCTAGACGCATCAAAAATGTAAATTTATCATTTGCACTTAGGTGTTCAAAGTATGGGAGCGTCTCTTTGATATGATAAAAAAGAACAGATCTTTCGATAGAATATAAAGTACAGTCTAAAATAAAGTGTTGTTCATCTTCTGTTCTATTCATGTTAAAGTATTGACAGAGTCTATTCTGGAGAGGAATGCGGTTGTGCCTTCCCGTTTCAATGAGTAATTTGTGGCAACTTATTCGGAGTTTAGTTGCAGCTACCCTGTGTTGTATGTTGTTAATCGATAGATACTCTTCTTCCTACAGTTATTCCGGAAAATAATTTCATAAGGTTGGTAAAACCTACCTGTACTGCACCAACAAGACAGGCTCACTGGAGGTCACGTGTCTGTACTCGTCCGATGGAACATCAATCTCCCAGAATTCCCCAGCGTTGAGGGTCATCGTGTTCTCATTGGTGACATCGACCTTTTAAAATAGATTAAAACAAAAAAGTACAGATTACTATCAACAAATAGAGTCTGAACTAATGAAATTGCAGCCTGGTGTCCAGTCCATCGTGGTTGGGGCGGGTTCTCTTCGGGGCTACAAAAGCTCTTGGCCGCCCGACTCAGCTAGGTTCCCCTGGAGTTCATTTAGTCCCATCGCGACGTGGTGGGGGTAATCAACTCCTGGCGTACAAAACTCTATCAGCTCTACAAGTCTAAAACTCCCACCGGGCGGCCAGCTGAGTTGGACGAGGGAAAAGTATTAGAGCCGGAAGGCAGCCTGCCCCAACCACAATATTATATATTAATAGACTGGATACCAGCAGGTGTTGCCCTTCATAAGTGCGGAGCAAAAGATGACCCTAGTAACTACAGGGGTATTTCGGTCACCAGCTGCCTAGCAAAACTATTCACATCTGTTTTAAATACACGCCTAACAACTTTTTAGATGAAACTAATCTCCCCCAGCCAGGCCGGCTTCAGAAAACATTTCAGTACAAATGATAATCTCTTTGTTTTAGACTCGCTAATTACGAAATATTTCCATAACAACAAACGCCTTTATTCATGTTTCATAGATTTCAGAAAGGCATTTGACACAGCTAGGCTGGAGAAAAGGGCTCCGTTTCAAATTACTAAATTCGGGAATATATAGGGAAGGTTTCTATAAATTAATAAAATGTTTGTATTGTAAACCAGAAACTTGCGTTAAAACAACATCTGACCTTACACAGTTAATGAAATGGAGGTAATATCTATCCTTGAGGGCCATAAAATTGACAGGTATCAGAACTGCCTACGCTTTTGACTATGGCTTGATACACAAACAAACCTGTGTGTTGTCTCTGGCAGCAACTACTCGGAACAGATCGCCGCCTGTGTGCATCGCGAGCGGCACGGTGACGAACTCCTTCCCCCAGGTGTCCACGGGCGGGATCATCTCCACGATGAAGTCTCCTGATCCAGTCTGTCTTTCATCCATAGGCCGGCAGATGGCGAACACGTTCCCGCTCAGCACGGCCACTGGGTGGGTAGCCGTGATCTTTGAGCCGGTCAGGTCCTCAGCCGTCTGTACCTGCAAATATAGCAGATTTTGTTACCCTCTATGTAAAACTTTAAAACGATGCAACTCACTCAGATTTACATTGGAGATACCAAGCGCTTCTAGCTCTGCTTGACTGTTTCTAACAGTTAATTGGATATAGAAGTCCAAATACTACGTACGTGTTAATGGGCCTAAATTCTCCTCCTAGCTCTGATTGGCGGTTGTTTTTTTACGCCAATGAGATATAGGATGTTACCATACAATCTTATCTTTCAAATAGCTCTGTTAGCATATGATTTAACATTTTAACCCTCAACAGAACACCTTCCCGGACTGATTAATATGTACACCTGGGGTCCGCGCGGACCCCAGAACAGTTTTTTGCTAATTTTTAGAAATTATCAACATGCTACCAGCTCAATTGTTTTGCAAACTGATGTGGGAACCTCTGTGTCCACATTACATACAAAAATCATACATTTTGAACTTTTTTCTATTTTTTGGTGAAGAAAATAAGACAAGAAGAAATACCCGATTTTTAAACCCATTTCAGACTGAAGGGGCTTTTGAGGCCCAACTTTGATCTCAGATAGCGGCTAAACGGCTTGCGCTAGAAGTATCAAATTTGGAGACCTTTCCTAAAATGTCTCTGGAAAAAAGTTCATATTAGTTTAATACTAGTAAGTTGATGTTCTTTTGGGTTGCCATGGCAACGGGTTTCTAGCAGTTTTTTTAAATAGAAGTAATTTTGGTTTAAACATAAACATTTTCTGAGTTTTATATTAAATTACACTTCTTTTCCAACATTAATAACATCTTACATAATCAAATATAAGTTAAATCATTTAATATGCATAGAATATGCTAATTTGATGACGTCATTGGTCAAAATCCAATATGGCGGACTATATTATTAGCTCTGACGTCATATGACGTCACACCAAAGTTATTAAAATTTAATTCTATTACTACATCATTCTCTGAAAACTTGGTAGACATACGATGAGTGCATAAAAACATTTAAAAACGGAAATAAATTAATGTATAAGAACGCCAGTACAATGTATATCCATTACGATCGAAAGCCGGCTGGGGTCCGCGCGGACCCCAAAAGAAAATCAGATATAATTTTTTTTATAGATGGTAGAAATGGAGTTTTCTGCACTGTATTGAGAGACAACTTTGTGGGTGACAATTACATAAATTTTTTAGAAAAAAATCTTTAGAAACAAAAAAGATATTACAGAATATATAGTGCTGGGGTCCGCGCGGACCCCAGGTGTTCTGTTTAGGGTTAATGTCTTGGGGTGGTGGGACTACGGCGCACAGATATGTCAACTTTGTATATCTAATTGTTAATTGTACTTTTTTTGTTGTGTGGAGCTGTTAATATAAGTTGTAAACTTGAGTGCAGCGTCACACTGTCCTTGGTATGTTTTCATGTTTTGATGAATAAAAAAAATAGCAGATATAAGATAAGTCCATTGCAAGTTCGTGCACTAGTTCTGCAAGTAACAAAGACATTGTAACAATGTCTAAAACTATGTCTGTGGGTTTTTTTTTTCTACATGTATGTAAGCCGTGCACGTGGAATACATAATACCCCACCTTTTCAACGAAGTGTTTGTTTTGGATAGTCTAAGTAAGGTAGACAGAAATGATGTACATATAAATTTTACAACGTCGATAGATTAATTAAATGCAAATATACCTATAGAAACAAAATCATTGTGAACAAAATAGCGACGGTTAACTATAGTTCTCTTATTTCTTGTCATGAATTTTATATAGGAAAAGACCACATTTTCAGCCTATGCTTCTAAACACAATCAAATGCCTTCCTCAAGTCAAAAAGCATGTATGTGTATTTATCTATTACAGATTTTAAGATCAAAATATCTAAAGTTCTACGTCTTTTCCGGAACCCAAACTGGGTGTCATCTAATAAATATATAATATCCAAGGACCTGTGGAGGTCCCGTTTTTGTTTTTTTTTATTCCAACATGTAATCACCAGACGTGGTGACGACACACTCAATTTTTTTTCAACTTATATTAATGCCGCCACCAACACAGGGGACAAATACATGATAGGACAATACTCATTTACACCTGAGCTAAGTGAGGAAAGTAGTGTTAAGTGCCTTTCCCAAGTTCACAAGATCGGTGGCATGTCAGGACTCGAACCCGGGACTCTAAGTTCCGAGTCGCGCACTCTGCCTCTACGCCACACACCCCACACATTCCCGGTCCCGTGCTTCGGGGGAGCCACACCCCACGCACGTTAAAGATCCCACCACACCTTTCGAAAAAGGGGCAATTTCGGTTTAACGAATTTCGAACATGGCTCCAACCTGAAGTGTTTCAAACCGGTCCAGTCGCACGGAGAACTTCTGTCCTGCGGCGTAGTTTTGTCCGTCAAACGTCACGGCTTGGCTGGGGACAATGGTGACGGTCGTTTCGTCATGGACACCGGCCACTCCGAACTCTGCACAAAAATAGAGGAAGAAGAAAAACTTTATTGCAAGAAAATTGTACAGGGTACACCGTATGGCAAATAGGTAACAATAAGTAGCATAGTGAATTAGATAGGTATAGAATAAAACTTAATATATAGAAAAGAAATAATCAAAAGTTAGCTTAGGCTTTACAATCAGGCGGAGTTATTTATTGGTACTTGTGACAGCAAATAAGTATTCGTTCTAATAACAATAAAGTATTTTACGTATCTACGTATTTTTGCATTGTGTGGGTTGTTGCATTTAAATATATAATCAAATCTATCTGCAGCAAGTCTATTGCAATCTGTCATATTTGAAGTGAGAAATTTGAATAATAGCTTATCACGTAGGACATAATATCTAGAGCATTCCATGATAAAATGAAATTCATCTTCGATTTTCTCTGGCCGTGGGCAAAATGGGCAAAAACTTTGGTCAGGGGCCACAAAAATATTATTACATCATCAAAGCATGTTGACACATCAAGTTTGTTTGAACCACAACAACAACAACAGCACACAACATTTCTGACAGCTCACCTGAAGGTATGTCTAGGAAACCTCCACTATTCATGTTGCGTACGATGCTTGAACAGGAGACGAAGTACTCCGTCCCAAGGCCGTCTGTGGGGAGGGCCAGGTAGGCGTCAGACGAGGCATGCTCGGCGAACACTCCGTACACCACGATCTCCACATCGGACGTGATGTGAACGGCCTTGTAGTCGTCACTCTTTTGGCTGCCTCGGAGTTCTACCTCCACACGGTCCAGTTCTACCTTCTTCACCTGCCAATAAAGTTGCGGAAATAAATCTTCGGTTAGGGACGTTAACCCTATCTAGACCGGACTTTTATGAGCTTGGTGGGACCGGGGGGGGGGGGGTCCTCATTTGAACCCCCCTCAGAACTCGAGAACGGTATGTCGTATGACCACCAATTTTTCAGGATGGTGTACTAGTAAAAATTAATCATATCTACAATTTGTATGTCGTTATGACGTAAATGCGATTTTATTGGCCAAAACCGTCTTAATAGGTTATTCCCTGAAAACTAACATTTTTTTTGTAAAAAGAAATGGAAGTTTTGACGAAATTTTAAGGAAAATAACCTGTATATCCATGTTCTAATGATATGGTCCGCCATCTTGGATTTTGGCCAATGACGTCATCAAATTAGCATAAATTATGCATTTTTGATTTTTAAATTTACATGAAATTATCTGGGATGTTATTAATATTAGAAATCATGTGTAACATGACATAAAACCCATAAAATTCTATTGTTGAAACTAAAATTACTAAATTTAGCAAAAAATGCCTGTCAGAAACCCGTTGCCATGGCAACACAAAATATTATTATCTTATTCCAATAATAGAGAATTTTTGCCAACAACATTCTAGGAAAAGTCACCAAATTTGGTCGTTCTACCACTAGCCGTTCAGACGCTAGGTGACATCAAAGTTGGCGCGGGCACTTTTAGTTCCCCCCCCCCTGTCTAGATAGGGTTAGATGGAGGTCCCGTGTTCCCGTGAGAGCCACACCCCTCACACGTTTAAGAACCTGCCACATTTATGAAAAAGATTAGGGGTCCTTCCCGGTGTGAGTGGTTCAAATAAAACCTTACAGTCCTATGGCCGCACCTGGGGTCGTATTGAGGTCATCTGAGTTAGCGCCGAACGGCAGCCGCTTCAGACCTTATTGTGTTTTGTGTGTGGACGGGAGATTCGGCGAACAGTATCCGACCTCAAAATAGCAAAGTTCTTTCTATCACAAACATTTTTTTAAGCCGACGTTTCGATGACCTTCTGTCATCTTCATCAGGGCACTATTTGGGACTGTGATAGCTCAGTATTGTCAGTTAACAAATCTTATATTTTATATAGAAACACATTTGGAACCTCATATTCCCCTATGATGCCTAGTATGTATGTTAAAATTACACTACGTTCCGGAATGCATTGTAAACAGAAAACTAGAAAGGCCAATATTTGCTTTGGAGCAAATACAGCGATGGGTTCACCACATTTTACGACATGGCAGGGAAAGAATGAGAAACACAAGGGAAAACAATGATTTACATTGATATAACTATAATATGAAGTAACATACAACTAAAACAACAGTTGGATAGCTATTCCCTACTTTATTGGTTAGGATTTTTAATTGTCATAATGCAAACTGTTGATTTTCAAAATAAAAAAAAAAAACGTTCATGCCCCGCATTCCAATGCTGGAGCAGAAAAGCTTGAAATACCTACCAAAACACTTGAATAAAGACATACTGTCAGTATGGAAATGCTCTGTGCAGGTGTTAATCAAGTTAAATCCCAACAGCCAATCAGCAAGAAATGCTCTGTGCAGGTGGAAATGCTCTGTGCAGGTGTTAATCAAGTTAAATCCCAACAGCCAATCAGCAAGAAGTATAGAGGAAAGCTGCATGCCTATTGGTTGATGCCCTGCATTCCATTGTGATGACTCATGCCCAGACGTGGTAAACACGGCACACTAACACAGTAATACATTTGCTATAACACAGCCAAAAAACTCAAATAAAACCATTCTAAAAGCCTGTATCACAAAAATTTAAAAAACGCCTAGGGGTATTTGCCCACTGTACCTCCATACCAAATTTCAGGACCTTAGGCCCTAAAATGAAGAAGCTGAATCCATTTTAAAAATGGCAGGAGAAGAAGAAGAAGGAGGAGGAGGAGGAGAAGAAACATCAGAAAAAGCAATATGGGTTCACCACCACTTCGTGGTGTGGTGAACCCATAAAAACTAGCTTAAGTGCACTATGAACTATGTAACACCTTAAGTGCACTATGCACCAAGTAACATCTAGCGTCAGTGCACAGTTAACCAGTCAGAATTGCCCTGATGAAGATGACAGAAGGTCATCGAAATGTCGGCTTGAAAATTAAATGGTTGTGATAGAAAGAACTTTGCTATGCAGTCGTTTACCAACCTGATAAAGTTATTTACGGAGTATCCGACCTCGCCGAACCCCAGCCAACCCAAGCTGACCTTGCTCCCAACCTACGGAAGTATTTGCGAGGTCATAGTCGGCTAGGTGTGACAGGGGCTTTATAAAATTACAGTGAATCTTTATTGCACAACAATTGTAACGGGTACAATGCGTGGCAAACTCTTCAGTACTACATATCTAGCTAACATCTACTCTTACGTCTACAGTGATACCTACAAGTTCTATGTATCGAAAATAACATTATACTATTTCAAAACGGCAATATAGTACATGTATATATATGGAGCATGCCTTACATGTTAATGTACATGTCTTGAGTTCTATATATGACTGTATAAACTAGAGTGTACATCAGTTGGTTGAATCGGATATAATATGATTTCTTTTATCTAAAGCTTTGGATATATACTGGCCTATATACAGGGAAGTTTCGTCGGAACATGACATGAGTAGAGTAAAAGTATCTGAGATTTAGGTATAATGTTATATGCGCCTTGTTGGTGACAGGGAGACTGAGTACTTACTTGCCCATGCCTCACCCGAACTCTTTCGCGGTGGCCACTAGACGGAAGAGTGACGGTGACATCGGCCCCGCTCGGATGCGGGCAGGAGAAGAACAGTCTTGGGTCGTGATGTTGTCTCTGGAGGTTTTCCGGAAAGGTCAGGATGAACTCAGTACCCTTGTTGTCGAGAGCAGCTGAAAGCAGACGGAAGAACACATTAGTGAGGGTTGTTATTAGATGACTATTAGACTAAAGCCTCGGTCACAACCCGCCGTACGTGATTTTTGTCCGTACGTTTTTAGGGAGGCTACGTCTGCTACGTTTTTTCTGAAAACGTGGGGAAGGGGTGGCATCGACGCACGTCACTCGTACGGTTTTTGCAAGGTATAAGAGTGTGGTCTGCACGCCACGTCTGGCAGTGAGCGGTTGCGTGTATCGTACGTTCGACCCAAGAAGTTCAAGGGTTAGGTGTAACAAGTCGATCGGTGTAATATAGCCAGCTGCCGCTGCGCCGCGTGCCTGCGAAGCTGGTGTGTTACGCCGAAAGGCGGTTATACCGGCTATACAGATACAGATACGTTACGCAAGTGGTGAGTTGTACATTGTACGTGCTTACAACGTACGATCTATGTGCAATTGCAACTTTACTGTAAAGCGACGGTCACAACCCGCCGTACGTGCTTCTACGTGCTGTCTACGTGCAAAAACGTGGGCAAACGTAGGGCATCCGTGCGTGGTGAGTACCGCCTCCGTACGGAATCCTACTGATTTGGGAGCACGCAGACACGCCGTAGCACTTTAAGTGCATGTAAAACTTTTTCTACGTGCGGTCTGCGGATTCACCACCCGTGCGTGCGAGTACGAGCGACGCGCGTGCCCCGGACGTGCCGTGCGGAAGAAGCACGTGTGAGTACGGCCGCCTTACGGTAAAGTTGCAATCGCACAGAGATCGTACGTTGTAAGCACGTACAACTCGCTTACCACTTGCGCAACGTACGATGCACGCAACCGCTCACGGCCAGACGAGGCGTGTAGACCCCACTCTTACACCTTGTGAAACCGTGCGAGTGACGTGCGAGTGACGTGCATCGAGTCCACATCTTCCCCACGTTTTCAGAAAAAACGTAGCAGACGTAGCCTTCCAAAAAACGTACGGACAAAAAGCACGTACGGTGGGTTGTGACCGTCGCTTAAGGAGGCCGTACTCACACGTGCGTCTTTCGTACAGTACGTACGGGGCACGCGCGTGCCCGTACTCTCATGCACGGGTGGTGAATCCGCAGACCGCACGTAGAAAAGTTTTACATGCACTTAAAGTTCTACGGCGTGTCTGCGTGCTCCCAAATCCGTAGGATTCCGTACGGAGGGTGTACTCACCACGCACGGATGCCCTACGTTTGCCCACGTTTTTTGCAGGTAGTCTGCACGCAGAAGCACTTACGGCGGGTTGTGACCGTAGCTTTTCTTTTACTTAAAATCGGTAAAAACTTGATTCTAAATTGCCAACTGCTAGCTGGAAGTACGAAGGTCAACCTGAAAGACATTCCTTCTTACCCTATACGCAATTGGATATTAACATAACATTAGCTGTACATTTCGGAAACACTATGACAGCACAATGCGAGATAGTAAATACTGCAATATATATATATTTTAACCAAGGATAAGTTGTATTGAGCTGTTCTTACCTAAACTGCAGTCAATCAAAGCCAGCACTAAAACAGACAGGAACATACACGCCATATTGGTGAGCACTTTTCAAAGGGGAATATTTATTGAGCTGTCAGCCTTAGATTTATCGATGTATAAGTTAAATCACGTGCAGGGCAGGATGGACATATTTATAGAACCAAGTATACAAAAGCAAAGGTTAAGTCGCCTACGCAGAACGTTGTGTTACGTGCGTAAGTTAGCCTCAATTTATCGATGTATAAGTTAAATCACGTGCAGGGTAGGATGGACATATTTATAGAACCAAGTATACAAAAGCAAAGGTTAGGTCGCCTACGCAGAACGTCGTGTTACGTGCGTAACCTAGCCTCTTTCGCAGACTTCTTTGAGCGTCGGCGTTAATTTTCTTTTTGGAGGGGAGGGCGCTGATACGCAACTTTTTATGTTTACCGGAGGGAAACATTGTTTTTCCTTTGTTTCCTCTTCTTCTTCTTCTCCTGAACCAATAATGGCAATGGCCGTCTGTCACCATGGTAATTAGTGTTGGGTTACATCATGTTGCAAGTTTATAGCAGAAGGGATTTAGACTCCTGTTTGACCATCTATATATGAATGTGTTTGAGAACGAATTAACAGAGCAGACCATATGGGAAGGTAAACATTATGCATTTGCTTTACAACTGTTACCTTTCTAGTTTTACGTAACATGTTTTTTTTTCATGAGGCAGAGGAAGTTATGTTTTGGAGGCTAGGGAGTTATACCTCTTACGATCTTTTTTTCGGGGTCAGCGGACAATCAAATTGGCTACCCGAGTAACAGTTCAGTTCCCGTACAGGACAAATGGTGGGGCAAAAGGCAACTTAAGTGGCCAATCAGATCATTGGTGAAATGATAACTCGGATAGCCAATTTGGTCATTCGACACCTCCCTCCCAAAGTAACCACCGCTCTGGCCGATCGTTCTACCCTCAGCCCTGAAGAAGTCTGCACAGGAGGCTAAGCGAGCAGCGCCCGCCGGTAGGAAGTTTATCTTTATTTCATGGACTTTTGCAAACCACGATGACATGAACACAAAACGCATGCCTTGGTGATCTACATTTGCGTTGACCAGAAAGTTTGCTCAGGGCAATGAGGTTTGCTCAAAGGGATGCCAAAAGCCAGTCACTTTTATGGGTACCAGTCATCCCCTGTCACACGACCTTCGTTCCGAACTCCAGGCGACCCGGTTCGATTAACGTTCGGGAGCACGCTGGCCAGATTTAGGCCACGCCTACCTTTCTACACGGATCAAAACGAATTTGAGGTAAATTTGAGTCAGGTCTAACCCCCGAACACGCCCGAATGGTTAGAAGTTGTTCTGCTTACCACCAATGAAACATGGTCTAACCATGGTTGGGGGACGTTTGGTCAAATTTAAGTGACAGGGCAGGGGCTGTGTGTCAGAGGGCAGTTAATGACGTAATTACAGGACCACTGTAGGGGTAAGATTCCTCCCTTGAGGGGGGTGGAAAGAGATGCTCTGGTATGTGTAAACATACACGGAAGAACTGAAGCTTTGTTCTCTTTGGGATCACAGTCCAACTGAGAAGTCGAAGTCCAACGACCCTCCTCAGAAAACGTAATCTTGTTCCGTCCTATTTATATGCAAAGTGAAGCAATTGTACCTTGAACTTATAAATTGTATCACGAAAATGTGTTTGATGATTATGTTTTATGTTAATTGTTTTATGACTCCTGGAAGAAACTCTTGGACATGACTTATGTATATCTTAAGTTCTCAATATACATATATATTTATCATCTTAAGTGTATACCTGTACAAGATGACCATAGCTACAATAAAAGTCTTAAATGCATTATGAAGGCCTACCAACGGACAAAAACACAATAGGCAACCAGCCTCTGTTGTGAGGCGAAGGAGTGTTATGTAGATACCAATTGTACGTTGTTTCTCACAACCAGAACTCCAAGATTCTGCGGATTCTGCCTGTATCATCAATGCTAAACTTTATTCGTTCTCCTTTGAGGTGTGAACCAAGCAAATGTAGCAAAATTTAAAGCACAGTTCCATTCGTAAAATATGTGAAGTGTGAGGGTATTGAGCGAGAATCGATGGAAGGTGAAGAGGCGCAAGAAAGCAGCAAAAAAAGGGGGGGGGGTAAACTGTTGAGGTGTACGTTAGAATAAAATGTATTGGTGATGTACTGCTGATGTGGTCCAAGTCTACGACATGTTTCTAGAATGGAACGGAGATTGGAATGGAACAGAAATATCTCTGTCAAACCCTCCGGATCCGAATGGAATGTGCTTGGTGACGTATATTATCAAATCATTCACTAGCGATGCTATTACAATCTACTACACAATGTCGTACTCCGCATGTCGGTGTCTATCCGCAGTGTCTCCGCGGAGCTGGTTAGGCGGCCAGGCACTTCTTCTGGATGACGTAGAGCGCCCCCATGATGACGACCGCCAGGGCACCGACATCGGCCACGTTGTTGCTCTCTTCAGGGGGAACTGTCGGGTAAATAGGTAAGGTTTAAGTCCCGGTAACCGCAGGGTGTCCCCCGGGGCTACGTAGGGATCACGCGGGCATTCTGAGTAAGCGGGCATTCTGAGTAATTTTACTCAAGACAGGCATTCTGAGTAATTTTACTCAAGACAGGCATTCTGAATAATTTTACTCAAGGCGGCATTCTGAGTAATTTTACACGAGACAGTCATCCTGAGTAATTTTACTCAAGGCGGGAACTCTGAGTATTTTTTACTCAAGACAAGCATTCTTAGTAATTATACTCAAGGCGGGCATTCTGAGAAATTTTATTCAAGGCGGCATTCTGAGTAATTTTACTCAAGGCGGCATTCTGAGTAATTTTACTCAAGGCGGCATTCTGAGTAATTTTACTCAAGGCCGGGTAATTTTACTGAAGACTGGCACTCACTCGATGCATAAGGACCACCTGCTTGACTAGCCCTCACTACTTAGCCCTCATACTGTCAGGAGCCGCAAAATACTTTATTTCTCTCTAAAGCTCACCCATAGAGCTGTGCCTTTTTGTTCTAGAGTGACTTGAACCACGTATATGTATTCAAAGTGCGTAGAGCTAGCTGTTCCTGCCTGTCTGCCAGTTAGGGCTATATGTGTAGCTCTAAGATATCTGCCAGTAAAACAGTTTCCGAATGAAAACAAACACATGCTTCGCAACAACCACATCTTCAAATTTTATGTAGTTGTTAGAACTACCTTGATGTTTTAAAGATAAATAGTAAAAAAATAAATAGATGAAAGATATTCTCCGATTGATGAATGGAATATTGTTATTTTTTTGCTCAGAAACACTTCCTTTTTTTTTGGGGGGGGGGTCCTCGCTACGTGGTAGTCTCCGCGTATCCAACAACGTTTATTTGCCTGCACTAGATATACATGTATACATACGCGAGGACTATCCAGAAGCGGGCCCGAGCATAGTACTGGATAAAGTGCGGTTCTGGGTATAATATGACTCATTATGTACTTTCTACGAACCGATGCGGCAGAAATGATCTACAATGTCTTAAGAAATAATGAAACGAAAGTAAGACCTGTCACGTGCCCAAGAAAAGTTAACTTTGTTGTGTCTGCCTCCTTGCGTAGGTTGACATCTTCGTCCTGTAAATTTGTCTGCCGCTTGCTGAAAAACAAAATGCCATTCGCACTGCGTCATGTGTGGATCTTTCCATATAAGGGCAAAAACAAGATCACTTCTTCAGACTAATCGCGATATCAACTCTGACATTCATGCATCTCTGATAGGTACAGACTGCTCAAACGTTGTTTGTCAGTGCAGTGCAAATGTACGAGCAAGCACAGCCGGTCCGGTCCCCTGTTGTGGGGCCCGGCAACAGTCAAACCAGCGGCCCACAGGCCCAAGCACCTTCTGTCCACCAGAGTGGTCTGCACGGGCGTGCCCGCCATGGCAACGCCGCTTATCACAAGCGGCAGAAAGGGCTGGAAACGTCTTCAGACACGTACGAAGATGCCGAGACCGTAAATCTGTCACCGCCGTTTCGCGAGGCGCGGCTGCAGCGGGCTGGGTTACGGGGAGATTCGCCCATGGAGGCGGCTGATGACAGAAACATCAGGCGTCATGTCAATTCACCTGACGCAATGGACACGTCTACAGGTAGCCAAAGTTATAGCTTATTTTTTGTCTTTATTTCTGTATAAGTTATATTGCAACCTAAATATATTAATACGTGTATTTGAGTATGTTGTCACCCTTTTGTATTTTGAAAATAAAACTTTCATGTACTAGTACGCTCAGTGTTGGAACAATCAATTATGTACAGTATTTGCTCCACCAAAATATGACATTCTTGACGACCCTGGACATGTAATTATGTCATCATGTGATAAATTTAAGAATAGCCCGCAATATGTTTCAGACAACACGTATCCGAGTGAAACAAACGGCCGCCGTGGTCTCCGTGACTTTGTTCGCCCCTACCGCGGCTGCATTACTCGCATTACTGCTGTGGTGGCAACCTGGGTCATCTTGGGACTCGTCGTAATGGTGTTCAAAGTTAAAGAGGTATGTGTTATCTCCACCTACCGGATGAGGTTTTGATAGCGTGTTGACTAACTTTGTTAGTTACATCATACTAATTATGCGTATCTTGAGCTATTTTGCGCAATCAATGAGGGGGAAATTATCTGCAAATTGCATTCACCGGTACCTGTGGTAGGACATTCAAACAAGTGACATGTAACTAAGAAAGGGAGGAACATAAATAGATATTAATCTATTGTCTGCGAAAATGCTAAAACACCAGAGTCACAGGTAATTGGACAGGACAGGATTGTCATACTTGCGACATTTGCAAGTTAAGTAAAGTCGATTATTATTAAGTAAATCATGCAAATCAGGGCACCATTTGCTTAGTAGGATAGGTAGGATAAATCAACCTAATTTGGCAATGTCAGACATACAGCCTTTGGGCAACTTGCAAGATTTAGTTAGAGGAAAATCGACTGATCTGGTTCATGCAAATAGGGATATAAACATATTCAATTCAACTCACATAAAAATAAAAACTGAAAAAAAAATGTTACTCTTTAGATTAAACAAAACCTTTAGTAAATAACTTGGCAATCTTGGACACCAATTCTACCGGTAGAAATAGACTAAGGTCGCGAACAGGCTTCTAGGAATGTGCTGTGATCTCTTCTGGAAGATTTTTGTGATTCTGCAATCTCTTCTTCGACATATTCATCAATTTCAATATACGTATTCCTTCCATTTCGAAAGGTGCAACCTACAGTCCAGCCTTCGGTATCCTAAGATTTTTTGTCACTGTTGTATCTTTTAGGATATGTCCCAGCTGTCTGACACTGTCGACGCCTTGAAACGCAACATGGACGGAATATCGCAGCTGTCCGACACTGTGGACACTCTGAAACGCAACATGGACGGACTATCCCGACTGGCGGACACTGTCGACGCCATGAAACGCGACATGGACGGACTATCCCGACTGTCCGACACTGTCGACGCCTTGAAACGCGACATGGACGGACTATCCCGACTGTCCGACACTGTCGACGCCTTGAAACGCGACATGGACAACGAGCGGAACCGGACACCTACCCGGATGAAGTGTGTTGGAGAGACAGGTAAACAATCTTTTTAGCACAATTGACTTTGGATAAGAAAAGTAAAAATAATTTCTGTACCAGAATTCAATAATTCCCATGCCATGAGGTTGGGGTGATCCTCCGCCCAGGAGGTGCGGGCGGTCGCTCAGTCAAGGGGTTGAGGCTCGAAGACAATTTCCCGGGCAACGATATGTGGGCGATTGCTCGAGCCAATAGTTAATGGCGATAGCCCGGGCAAAGGGTTAAGGGAAATAGTGCCGACCGGGACTTGGAGGCTAGAAATTGAGGGCGATTGGCCTGGCCATAAATTGATGCAATTAGGGCTGTACGAGCAACCTCCATGCAATAGGGGCTGTACTACTCACCTCCATGGAGCTAGCTCCATGGAGCTAGCTCCATGGAGCACGGCGGTCTGTCACTACGGTATTCTTTCCCATTGCTAGGCGCGTTCTAAAAGGTATCGGATTACAAGACGCTACTTGGGCCGAGTTTGGCCTACCAGTAAAACGCTTGAAAATAAACAAAAAGGATTTAATGGTAAATTTCGTCAAATTAAAATGAAATTATTGCCTTAACATCCTTTCAATATTAGCTGTTTATGTTAAATCATTGAGTTTTCAAAATTTCGCTCCGAAAGACGATTTTTTTCGGATTTCCGACCACAAGTCATGTCATGTTTTTAGGCAAACATCGTTTTAACCTGGCAACGTATATTACCCCAGATTCCCGATTTTTATATTTTTCGACGACTAGGAATAAGATCAAAAATCGTGTTTTAGGGATTTTTTAATTTCTGATTTTAAGTCTAGTTTTTGTCGACATATTGGTGAAAAAATGATTTTTCTTTACATTTTTCGCACTAAATTACCCATAATTCAAAATTGAGGCCATTTTTAAAAAATCCCTAAAACACGATTTTCGGGACAACCGTAACGGTCATTTTGAGCCGTGAATGGGGTATGCTAGACTTTCCATGCTTGCAGGTTAAAACGAGTTTTGCAGACATGTCATGTCGACCAAAAGTCTGCATTGTGTTATTCATACTGGCGTAAAGAATCATTACAGTATTCAAGGTCACCCAAGGATACGACAGTAGCTTCGCTACATGTTACATGTCCACACAAAAATGATAGCGGACATGTACTGTCCTGGAAACTGTTTTTATCTAAAGAAAAGTGTTGTTTTTTATCTGTTGCACGGCACGGAGGCAGAAAGTCTTGTTTTGCCGCTTTATTGTAAATGACCGCAGGTGACCCCGAAATAGAACGCGGGTTCGATTCGAATTGCCCAGATCGAACACGATCGAACACAGTTCGGGTTCTATGGCATGTGGGAACTTTGCAACCCAGATTTTACCACCGTGGAGGTAAGTACTTCAGCCCTGAGGCAGATTTTTTCCAGCTCCATGGAGCTAGCTCTACGCACTATGAATGCATATGCCTGGTTCACGTCACCTTCAAGAAAAATGCATATACATGGTTCACGAAAACAAACCAGCGCTATAAATGTCTTGAGAAATAAACAGCCCCGTGCACAAAGAACACACATGGTTCACGTCACCTACAATGAAGAAATCATGCTCTAGAATATATCGTGTTTAAACTTGATACGGCCCCACGCACTGAGAACGATACATGTACACACAGTGCCGGTCTTCTCAGAGGCTGTTTTGCCCACAGACCTAGCTCCACGCACTATGAATGCATATACATGTTTCACGTCACCTTCAAGATAAATACATAAACGTGCTTCGCGTTGCCTTCAAAAAATACCACGCTCCAGAAAATGGTTATATCGGTGTATTATCATTTGCAAATCTTGGATAATCGTTTTTGGTGGTGTTCTATGCGGCCCCAAACACTGAGAAGAACGACACATGTACACACAGTGCCGGTCTTGTCGAGGCTATTTTGCTAGCTCCACGCACTTTGAATGCATATACATGTTTCACGTCACCTTTAAGATAAATACATAAACGTGCTTCCCGTTGCCTTCAAAAAATACCACGCTCCAGAAAATGGTTAGATCGGTGTAATAATTGTTATTTGTAAATCTTGGATAATCGTGTTTGGTGGTGTTCTATGCGGCCCGTTGCCTTCAAAAAATACCACGCTCCAGAAAATGGTTAGATCGGTGTAATAATTGTTATTTGTAAATCTTGGATAATCGTGTTTGGTGGTGTTCTATGCGGCCCCACACACTGAGAACGATACATGTACACACAGTGCCGGTCTTGTCGAGGCTGTTTTGCTAGCTACACGCACTTTGAATGCATATACATGTTTCACGTCACCTTCAAGATAAATACATAAACGTGCTTCCCGTTGCCTTAAAAAAATACTAGTTATGTTACGGCAAGGCTGTCCTTGTGTATTGATTGACTATATACACTATACTAAATTTCGTGACGCAAACCATGTGTTGGAATTCATACTGCGTTTATTTGAGCTCTCCAGTTTAAAAGTTGTCGGGACCTCATCCTGACCACGATATCGATGTCACCTAATGACCTATGTCAACGATTGGTACAGAGATGCGATTTTCTGCAATCTATCGTGGCTCAGCTTGCGAACAATGGTGGTGTTCATTTTAGAACTGACAATACGATAATACAATAAGAAAACATGATATCGAAAGGAAAAAGGCCTGTTGAGGCCATTGACATTGTGAAATATAGAATTTTCAGTATTCACGGCGTTGGTTTCCATTACGCCTTCTTTAGTTGACAAATAATGAACGGTCCCCGGGCCCACAAACAAAGGGGACAAGCGACAGATAATGAACGGTCCTCGGGCCCAAAAACAAAGGGGACAAGCGACACTAATTAATAACAGGCTATTTTCAGTGTTTGTCTTTAGAGAGAATTCATTTAAGCGCAAAGGCGGGATTTGAGCTCTGCTAAATCAAGGAGGCTATCCCTTTGGCCGAGGAGGTTTAACTTCATTGTTTTGGTTAAATCCCGACAACGAAAGCAATACGTCACCTAATGACATTTGTCAACTGCTTAGGGTCGATTGGCACGGAAGTGCTAATTCCTTCACTGCTTTCGTGTCTCAGCTTGCAGTGTTCGTTTCTTATATCTAAACAGGATATCGAAAAAAGGGGGGAATTTCCACTGTTCACAGCGTTATTCTGTATTCATTTTTTTCAGTACAAACGGACACATAAGTGTAAAACCTTTGTCTAGACGGACACAATTAGAGTTGTTTACGACCTTCCTGTCATAAAATAATCTGTTAAAACATCTCTTTTGTATCCTTTATTCACCGTATTTCACACGCACATGGTGACGCGGTTTCTGATATTGACAACGCGAAGAACACGATGCAGCTACAGGCCGGATGGGTATCGGAAAAGATCAAAGAACAATTTCCCAGAAAACATTTTTCCATTCCTACATAATGGTCTAGCATAACATAAAAAAAGCACCCTCTGCTGAAGTAAAACATGAAGTCTACATGTGAACTGCCCACACAAGCATGTGGATGACATTTTTACATTTTACGATTTCGGCGGTTCCGCAACAACAAAAATTTTGCAACATTTCACCAATGTGTGATGTGGGCCCCCCATTCCATCTTGAAGTTGACGTGAAACATGTATATGCATTCAAAGTGCGTGGAGCTAGCAAAACAGCCTCGACAAGACCGGCACTGTGTCAGTGTGTGTACATGTATCGTTCTCAGTGTGTGGGGCCGCATAGAACACCACCAAACACGATTATCCAAGATTTACAAATAACAATACACCGATCTAACCATATCCTGGAGCGTGGTATTTTTTGAAGGCAACGGGAAGCACGTTTATGCATTTATCTTGAAGGTGATGTGAAACATGTATATGCATTCAAAGTGCGTGGAGCTAGCAAAATAGCCTCGACAAGACCGGCACTGTGTGTACATGTATCGTTCTCAGTTTGTGGGGCCGCATAGAACACCACCAAAAAACGATTATCCAAGATTTACAAATAACAATACACCGATCTAACCATTTTCTGGAGCGTGGCATTTTTTTAAGGCAACGGGAAGCACGTTTATGCATTTATCTTGAAGGTGATGTGAAACATGTATATGCATTCAAAGTGCGTGGAGCTAGCAAAACAGCCTCGACAAGACCGGCACTGTGTGTACATGTATCGTTCTCAGTTTGTGGGGCCGCATAGAACACCACCAAAAACGATTATCCAAGATTTACAAATAACAATACACCGATCTAACCATTTTCTGGAGCGTGGTATTTTTTGAAGGCAACGGAAAGCACGTTTATGTATTTATCTTGAAGGTGACGTGAAACATGTATATGCATTCATAGTGCGTGGAGCTAGCTCTGTGGGCAAAACAGCCTCTGAGAAGACCGGCACTGTGTGTACATGTATCGTTCTCAGTGCGTGGGGCCGTATCAAGTTTAAACACGATATATTCTAGAGCATGATTTCTTCATTGTAGGTGACGTGGACCATGTTCTTTGTGCACGGGGCTGTTTATTTCTCAAGACATTTATAGCGCTGGTTTGTTTTCTTGAAGTGACGTGAACCATGTATATGCATTTTTCTTGAATGTGACGTGAACCAGGCATATGCATTCATAGTGCGTAGAGCTAGCTCCATGGAGCTGGAAAAAATCTGCCTCAGGGCTGAAGTACTTACCTCCATGGAGCTAGTTCCATGGAGGTGAGTAGTACAGCCCCTATTGCATAGAGGCGATTAGTACAGCCCCTATTGTTTTTACCTCCATGAAAAATGGAGGTATTGTTTTTGGCGTGTCTGTCTGTATGTATGTATGTATGTCTGTCTGTCTGTCTGTGTGTCTGTCTGTCTGTGTTTCCGCAACTTTGTGGTCAGCATAACTTCAGAACGCTTTTATGGATTATGATGATATTTGGTGTGTTGGTAAGTCTTAGGAAGACAAACGTCAAGGTCAAATATGGGCCTCCTGGTGGATGACCTTGGTACTGCAGCAGAACTTCCGGTTTTTGTATCTTTTGTCCTGAACATGCTATGGTCTTGATGTTTTGGTGACAGATTGCTTTTCCTGTCAGGAATAAGTGGTGTGAGTTTGGTCCCCCTAGCAGCTTGTTCTGGAACTGCAGGGCACTTTCTGGCGAAATGTTTAAAAGCCAATAAGTCAAGATAGGAACAACATATTTTCATAATTTTTGGTGTGTAGGTAGCTGAGAGAGAGATGCACATGATTAAATGCAAATTATGCAAATGAGAACTTTATTTGCATAATTAATGAGGAAATTCTTTAATTACAGTGTTTTACATTATACTACTTTCATACATGTAATGTATGTAACCTATGGCAGGCAGAACATCAACAGATACTAATTATGCAAATGATGACCTAATTTACATAATTTATGCAAACATTCTATGATTTCTTAATGGTGAATGATGGGAATGTCATACTTGGAACATCTGTAAGTTAATCAAAGTTCACATACATCACGATGCATATATCATGTTAATGCGGAGGTAATTTGCATAATTAAAGAGGAAATTTACATTTACATATCAAGCCCATATTTCATGGAGGTATGAAATCTCGGAATTCTTGTTTCTGTTTTTTCTTGAAGGTGACGTGAACCATGTATATGCATTTTTCTTGAAGGTGACGTGAACCACGTATATGCATTAATAGTGCGTAGAGCTAGCTCCATGGAGCTGGAAATTAATCTGCCGCAGGGCTGTACTACTCACCTCCATGGAGCTGGCTCCGTGGAGCTAGCTCCATGGAGGTAAGTACTACAGCCCCTTCTCCCTCCATGGAGGAGCTCTACAGAGTTCTTTTGTGGCTTTTTTGTCATAAAATTATGCGGAGAGGACAGAAATTACTCATTAGCTAAGAAAACGTCTGGTAACAGGTCTACAAATAACGTAATGTTTTCATCGGTGTAAATGTCAACGGTCGCATGGCACAGGTAAAACTTATTCAAAGAAAATTGTGGTTTAATGCATAATATTTTTTTTGTTTCTTGAAATGTATCATGTATCCTAAGATGCACAATACAACTTGCTACCTTGTTCAAATAGTAATTTATCGTCTTTAACCTTGACAATATAATGTATTCCTAATGATATATGTACAGAAAGTACTGATAATGCTGCAGCATAAAAGAAACGCACAATCAAAACGAAACAAATTTTACTCATTTTAGGAAACAAATTTTACTCATTTTAGGAGGGCCTGCATGCCCTTTTTCGTAATAGTAAATCAGACCTTTTTAGTCTTCGTTACCAGTAGGCAGGCTAGACTCCCCAAAAATCAATTTAATTCGTAATAGTACATTAGCCAGTTCTGCGTAATCAGCTGAGACTTTTAATTTAAATTAAGAATGTAATTCGTAGACGGCGGAAACAATTTTGCGTAATTCTTTATCACTGCCCCCACCCCCATGCAGGCCCTCTTTCAGGTATCCGACTTGTTGGCGGAAGTTGCCCCAATGAAGGCAGAGTTGAGGTGTTCTATAACGGGCAATGGGGGACGGTCTGTGACGATGGATGGGAGCTGAATGACGCTCACGTGGTCTGCCGTCAGCTGGGATATCCCTCTGCAACAGCAGCTCGTAAAGAAGCAGCATTCGGGCTGGGGTTTGGAAAGATCTGGCTGGACGATGTAGCCTGTCGTGGTTCTGAGAATACCATTACTGACTGTGGGCATAACGGATGGGGGTCAGGGAACTGTGGCCATAGCGAAGATGCAGGAGTTGTTTGTAAATGTGCCATATGCCGTAATTAACCTGTATCTATTTGATTGTATTTTTTAACCTTTTTAAACTCAATTAAAGAGGCGAAGTTCCTGGTCCCGTCGGGATGTCTCTGTAGTTCTATTTGAAAGGGAACAAAATATGTCAAGAAGATGATTATGATATTTTAGTTGGTCAATAAAGTTTGCACAACCATGGTGATTGTAAACTAGACCAAGAGTGACATTCTGTTTAACTGAAGTAGACCTACTGGTGATATATTTACAATGGTCCGGAGAGTTGACGATGAAAAGCCGCTATCAAATATGTGTAGCTTGCCCTTAGAATGGGGAGTTCCATAGTCTTTTACCTGTATAGAACTTCTCAGTAGCAACTATTGAAGTGGTGCGTCGGTGAAGGTTAGACATCGAGGTAATAAGATACGCCAAAACAGTTACTCGAGCGACTAGTAACATCCAATACCTTTCGTCAGTGTCACCGGAGAGTTGTCAGAAAAACATGTTGATAAGATTGATTGATAAATTAATAATTTCGTACGTACAGACCTGTTTTTCTGACAACTCTTCGTTGGCGCTGACGAAAGGTAGTGGGTGTTACCTTAAACGTCCAAACCGTTTTTACATTGAATATATGAATGACGACCTTTATTGCACTTTTATGTCCTTACAAGATAAGTACAGGCCATGAATAAACAGGGAAAAAGAATACAAGAAAAAGAATATAATAAGTTACTTAAACTATACAAAGTGTGATGTACTATTTACAGGTTCAACTTTTTTTAGCTTCTTGAGGCAGTTGTAAATGTACGGACATATGGAGCTAATGATACAAGTTTCATAAGGAATGCGGTCATGTCTGCCTTTTTCTATGTGGAGCTTGTTAATCTGAATATATTACGGTTTGTATGTTGATTCTAACTTTGCTAATTAAAAGTGAAAGAAATATATGCCATGTATGCAGCTCTTAGTTGCATGCAAAGTATTGATGTATGTATCTATTTATCATTTTGTTGGCAAACAGAATTTAACAAAATTCATTGATTTAAGTTTAAGAAACGAGATTTTCAGTTTTTGTTGTTGTTGTAAAATTGTACTTCTTATCAAGATGACACGTCAGTCTTTGCTGATTGGTAAAAATAAAGCCTGCAATGTTGGTCTTTTAATCATCTCAATGCTGTAAACATTTGTACCCTCTTCCTCAACTTCAGTCAAAGTAATCGGGGAGTTTAACAAATGCATTGGTGGGGTATGATGTATTCCTCATATCCTTCTCAATTTGATCTTTCAGTGTACAAATTTCCTGATAAAATTCTTCATCAAATTCAGCTTCTGTATTGTTTCCTGCAAACAGGTCAGCAAAATCCCTGTCCCATTTTTGAAGAATCCTGTTTACATCATGAGTCAGTTTCCCATCATGGTCTATCACTTCCATAGGGATTTTTGTACTTCGCCTAGGTCCTAGTTTATTCAGTTCATTCCAAAATCGCTGTGGGTTACTGGTCTGAAGCCCCTCAAATTCAAACGCTTGCCCCCTCTGGTGTCTACGTTTATAAAAACGAAGCTTCTCGTCAAAAGCATATTGTTTGTCCCTAAAGTTTTTCCTAAGCTCTTCCCTACATCGCTTGTTACCCTGACATCTTGTAAACTGACGTTCTGCCGCCCTCATTTCAGCCCATAACTTATCTAGTTCACCATTCCATAATGGTTTACCAGGGCGATACCGATTCTTATAACGGAATGCATTAATGTTTCCATCATCATCATCAGCAGCACCTGAATTAAATTCATCATGCATAATAACACAAAACGTATCGTACCAGAGGTCAAAATTTCTCAGAGTTCCATGCATAGATTGTAAATAATCTATTAGCATACACAAGTATGTAGCATTTTGCATACCATTATACATGTATTTGTGTTTTGGGGCCTCCTTTGAAACCAGCTATATGTAATATAGTTGATATAACCACCTTGATGTTTTCAAAATAAATAAATAAAAAAATATATATATATATTTTCCTATTGATGAATGGGATATTGTTAATGTAGGCTGTGCCGTAACGAAGTTTGTAATACGAAACGCTTATTTTTAAGGGGGGGTTCGCTACGTGGTAGTCTCCGCGTATCCAAGAACGTTTATTTGCCTGCATAGATATACATGTATACGCGTGGACTATCCAGAAGCGGGCCCAAGCACAGTACTGGATAAAGTACGGTTCTGGGTACAATATGACTCATTATGTACTTTCTACAAATCGATGCGGAAGAAATGACCTACAATGTCTGAAGACATAATGAAACGAAAGTAAGACCTGTCACGTGCCCAAGAAAAGTGAACTTGGATGTGTCTGCCTCCTTGCGTAGGTTGACATCTTCGTCCTGTAAATTTGTCACTTCTTCAGACTAATCGCGAACATCTCTCACATTCATGCATCTCTGATAGGTAAAGACTGCTCAAACGTTGTTTGTCAGTACAGTGCAAATGTACGAGCAAGCAGAGCCGGTCCGGTCCCCTGTTGTGGGGTCCGGCAACAGTCAAACCAGCGGACCACAGGCCAAAGCACCTTCTGCCCACCAGAGTGGTCTGCACGGGCGTGCCCGCCATGGCAACGCCGCTGATCACAAGCGGCAGAAAGGGCTGGAAACGTCTTCAGATACGTACGAAGATGCCGAGACCGTAAATCTGTCACCGCCATTTCGCGAGGCGCGGCTGCAGCGGGCTGGGTTACGGGGAGAACCGCCCATGGAGGGGGCTGATGGCAGGAACATCAGGCGTTATGTCAATTCACCTGACGCAACGGACACGTCTACAGGTAGCCAAAGTTATAGCTTTTTTTTTCTTTGTTTCTGTATAAGTTATATTGCAACCTAAATATATTAAATTATACATGTATTTGAGTATGTTGTCACCCTTTTGTATTTTAAAAATAAAACTTTCATGTACGCTCAATGTTGGAACAATCAATTATGTACAGTATTTGCTCCACCAAAATATGACATTCTTGACGACCCTGGACATGTAATTATGTCATCATGTTGTGACAAATTTAAGAATAGCCCGCAATATGTTTCAGACCACACGTATCCGAGTGAAACAATCGGCCACCGTGGTCTCCGTGACTTTGTTCGCCCCTACCACGGCTGCATTACTCGCATTACTGCTGTGGTACCGGTGGCAACCTTGGTCATCTTGGGACTCGTCGTAGCGGTGTTCAATGTTAAAAAGGTATTTGTCTTCGTCAGCTACCGGGTGTTGTTTTGCGTGTTGATTGACTTAGTCACAGTATACTAACAAGTAGTCATAGGCGACAATTCTCTGAGAGGTTTTATCTTTTGCAGATTGGGAACAGTATAGTGTATGTAAGAAGTATAGTGTGTAAGCACTTCACAACTGGTAAAAACGTATCGTAAAAATTGCTAAATCCCTGGCGCTCATAAACCCCATCCTCCCATGGCAGGGTCAGCGGCTCCGAGTTCCTTCTCCACCACTTACCCCTGCCGTATAAGCCCGCCTTTTCTACTCTGCGACCCCAGGAATATTAATATTCATGAGCTTGCCTTATTTGGCATGACCCCATTTCTAACGGAATTTTTCATCGCCGAGGATAGTCTCGGGGGATTTGAATACAAACTGGAACTTCCCAGCGAGGATGCCCGCCGTATCTCTACTGTCCATCCCGAGGCAAACTGCCGTCAGCCCAAGACCGTTCAAGAACTCACAATGCTCCTTCATTATAGCATTCAGCGGGCTCACAACTAAGACGAACTCCTCTCCAGTCGCGCTCTAACAGCTCTCAGTTGCACAGCTGCTAGCGCGCGACTCTTTCCTGGTTCTTGCGAGTCTTGCTGCGACTGGAAATCCCATGAAACATAGGCTTTTCCCCCCGCCCGTTCGCACACTTAGGAACACGTCCTTTCTACTCATCAAAAACTCCAGAGTGGACTTTTGATGGTCATGAAGGCTCTTCAATCCAAAGAACTCGCAAAAGTTCTCTTCCCCAGACGACGCCATGTTTGTTTTTATTTGTCACTGAAGAGCCGATGAAAGAACCGACATTATTGGTTCCGATAGCTAGCGCAGCTCATAAATATGTAATGTAAAGTGCGTTGAAGATTTTCCCTGTGATACGTGATTGGCTGGGAGCGTGTCCCTGGAATCGGGTCGCAGAGTAGAAAAGGCGGGCTTATACGGCAGGGGTAAGTGGTGGAGAAGGAACTCGGAGCCGCTGACCCTGCCATGGGAGGATGATAAACCCCCGGCCGGGAGTTTGTACAGATACAGGCTTGAAACTCCCCCCCCCCCATACATAAACAATGTGAGACGCGCGTCTGTTTCTTAGTATTGTAAGATTGTAGTATTGCCGGCACACCAAACGTCTGCTATATGGGATACGACCAGACTCGCTATTCAAAAACATAGGCCATACCGATTTGCCTCAAAAATGTAGAGGTGCATTTGAAATATTACATTGACCGCGAAAGCTGCTACAGTAAAAATGAATACACGTGTATCATCAAGGGCGTGCCCGGGGACGACGTATAAAATTACATTTATGTGGTTTTATTTTATGTAATTTTACATGCCGATTGAACAAAGGCAACCCTGTGATCTGGCTGCGAACACGGAAAACCACCTCCTGCCGCAATTATGCATATCTTGAGCTAATTTGCGCAATCGATGAGAAAATAATTACATGTATAACTAAGAAAGGAAGGAACATGTTAGATAGATATTAATTATGCGAATGAAGGCAATATTTACAAAAATGCTAAAATACCAAAGTCAGTGGTTAATGGCAGGATTTTCATACTTGCGACGTTAAGTAAAGTTTAATATTATCATAAGTAAATCATGCAAATCTGGGCACAATTTGTATAATTTATCAGAGCAGGATAAATCAACCTAATTTGGCAATGTCAGACATCCAGCCTTTGGGCAACTTGCAAAATCTAGTTATAGAAAAATCGACTGATTTAGTTAATGAAAATTCAATTCACCCCACACAAAAGCAAAAACCTGACAAAAAATCTCTTTTTTTGGTTAAACAAAACATTTAGTAAATAACTTTGCAATCTTGGACACCGATTCCACCGGTAAAATAGACTGAGGTCGCCATCAGGCTTCTGGGAATGTGTTGTGATCTCTGCCGGCAGATTTTGTGATTCTGCTAGACTGCAATCTCTTCTTCGACATATTCATCAATTTCAATATTCTACTTCGGTATCCTAATATTTTTTTTCACTGTGGTATCTTTTAGGATATGTCCCAGCTGTCTGACACTGTCGACGCCTTGAAACGCAACATTGACGGAATATCGCAGCTGTCCGACATTGTGGACACAGTGAACCGCAACATGGACGGTCTATCTCGACTGTCCGACACTGTCGACGGCTTGAAACGCAACATGGACGGACTATCCCGACTGTCCGACACTGTCGACGCCTTGAAACGCGACATGGACAACGAGCGGAACCGGACAGCTGCCCTGATGAAGTGTGTTTTTGGGACAGGTAAACAATCTTTTTAGTACAATTGACTTTGGATCAGAAAAGTAAAAATTTCCTAACAAGAATTCAATAATTCCCATGCTATAAGGTTTGGGTGATCTTCGGCTCAGGAGGTGCGGGCGAAGCGAAGGCTCAGTCGAGGGGTTGAGGCTCGATCGAAGACAATTCCCTGGGCGTGGGTATGTGGGCGATTGCTCGAGCTAATAGTTAATGGCGATAGCCCGGGCAAAGGGTTAAGGGAAATAGTGCCGACTGGGACTTGGGGACTAGAAATTGTGGGTGATTGGCCTGGCCATAAATTGGTGCAATTAGGACTTTACGAGCAACCTCCATGGAGAAGCTCTGCAGAGTTCTTGTTTGGCTTTTTTTGCTCATAAAATTATGCGGAGAGGACAGAAATGACTCACTAGCTAAAAAAAGGTCTAGTAACCGGTCTACAAATAACGTAAATGTCTTCATCGGTGTAAATGTCAACGGTCGCATGGCACTGGTCAAAATTATTCAAAGGAAATGGTGGTTTAATGCGTAATGATATTTGTTTCTTGGAATGTACCAGGTATTCTATGGTGTACAATATAACATGCTACCTTCTTCAAATAGTAATTTATCGCATTTAACCTTGACAATATAATGTACTCCTAATTACCACAGGAAGTACTGATAATGCTGCAGCATAAAGGAAACGCACTCTATTAAAACGAAAGAGATTTTATTTATTTTAGGAGGGCCTGCATGCCCTTTTTCGTAAACTAAGGCCATGTTGATTTGATTATATGGATGACATCCTCCGGGAGCCCCAAAACTGATGCGCGCGTGCGAATAAAAAAAAAAAAACTTTTGCAAAAAAAATTTCTTTTCATTATGAAATCTACGTGGTCATGAGGGTTAAGCGAATGGCACAGAATATGGTTTGGCGAATAATCTAGTCTTCAAGTTCATTTCTTTACAATTTCGTCTTTTTTCGTTTGATTTTGGCATTCTACGACATTGGTATAGTTTTTATTAATTTTTTGTAACTTATGGTATATTTTTGCTCATTTTGCAACTGTTTTGTACGATTTACAGTATGGTTGAAAACTTTTTTTTTGGAAACGGCCAAAAATTCATGCGCGCGTGGATGTCATCCTTATAATCAAATTAACATGGCCTAAGGCTTAATCAGGCTTTTATAATCTTCGTAACCAGTAGGCAGCCTTCCAAAACATCAATGTAATTCATAATAGTACATTAGCCACAAATCGAAAAGTCGTAATCAGCTCTGAGATTTTAAATGTAATTCGTTTTGGCGGAGAAGTTTTGCGTAATTCGTAATCACTACACTCCCTCCCTCCCATGCAGGCCCTTTTTCAGGTATCCGACTTGTTGGCGGAAGTTCCTCCAATGAAGGCAGAGTGGAGGTGTTCCATGACGGACAATGGGGGACGGTCTGTGACGATTATTGGGAGCTGAATGACGCTCACGTGGTCTGTCGTCAGCTGGGATATCCCTCTGCAACAGAAGCTCGTGCACAAGCAGCATTCGGGCAGGGGTCTGGGCCGATCTGGCTGGACAATGTAGCCTGTCGTGGTTCTGAGAAGACTATTACTGACTGTGTGCATAGAGGATGGGGGTTAGAGGACTGTCAACACGGAGAAGATGCGGGAGTTGTTTGTAAATGTGGCATATGATGTAATTAACGTGTATCTATTTGATTGTATTTTTAAGATTTTCAAACTCCATCAAAGAGGTTCCTGGTCCCGTCGGGATGTCTCTGTAGGTCTGTTTGCAAGTGAACTAAATATGTCAAGAAGATGATCATAATAATTAGTTGGTCATTAAAGACTGCACAACCACGGTGTTTGTAAACTAGACCGAGAGTGACATTCTGTTTAACTGAATTAGACCTGCTTGTGATATATTTACAATGGTCCGGAAAGGTGACGATGAAAAGCCGCTATCAAATATGCGTAGCTTGCCCTTAGAATGTGGAGTTCCATAGTCTTTTACCTGTATAGAACTTCTCAGTAGCAACTATTGAAGTGGTACGTCGGTGAAGGTTAGACATCGAGGTAATAAGATACGCCAAAACAGTTACTCGAGCAACTAGTAACATCCAATACCTTTCGTCAGTGATATCGGAAAGTTGTCAGAAAAGTCAGGTTAATGAGATTGATTGATAAATCAATAGTTTCGTACGTACAGACCTGTTTTTCTGACAACTCTTCGTTGGCGCTGACGAAAGGTAGTGGGTGCTACCTGAAACGTCCAAACCGTTTCTACATTGAATATATGAATGAAGACCTTTATTGTACTTTTATGTCCTTACAAGATAAGTACAGGTCATTAATAAACAGGGAAGAAGAATACAATAAAAAGAATATAATAAGTTACTTAAACTATACATAGTGTGAACCACTATTTACAGGTTCAACTTTTTTTAGCTTCTTGAGGCAGTTGTAAATGTACGGACATATGGAGCTAATGATACAAGTTTCATAAGGAATGCGATCATGTCTGCCTTTTTCTATGTGGAGTTTGTTAATCTAAATGTATTACGGTTTGTATGTTGATTCTAACTTTGCTAATTAAAAGTGAAAGAAATATATGCCATGTATACAGCTCTTAGTTGCATGCAAAGTATTGATGTATGTATCTATTTATCATTTTGTTGGCAAACAGAATTTCACCTATGCTAATGATGCCACACACAACAGGTTGCTGGCAGGCATATTTAACAAAATTCATTGATTTAAGTTTAAGAAATGAGATTTTCAGTTTTTGGCCACTTCTAGGCATAGAGCTAGAGGTATAGAACTGTAACAGCAACTTTTCTCCCTGAGTCAGAAACTTCATGATAATTAGTTGGTTATTAAAGATCGTACAACCATAGTGTTTGTAAACTAGACCAAGAGTGATATTCTGTTTAACTGAAGTAGACATACTGATGTTATATTAACAGTGGCCCGGAGAGGTGACGAATATGGGTAGCTTACCCTTAGAATGTGGAGTTCCATAGTCTTTCCGTACCTCTGTATAGAACTTTCTCAGTAGCAACTATTGAAGTGGTACGTCGGTGAAGGTTTGACATTGAGGTAATAGGATACGCCAAAACAGTTACTCGAGCGACTAATAACATCCAATACCTTTCGTCACTGACACCGGAGTGTTGTCAGAAAAACAGGTTGATAAGATTGATTGAAAAATTAATAATTTCGTACGTACAGACCTGTTTTTCTGACAACTCTTCGTTGACGGAGGGTAGTGGGTGCTACCTGAAACGTCCAAACCGCTTCTATAATATATGAATAAAGACATTTATTGTACGTTTATATCCTTACAAGATAAGTACAGGTCATGAATAAACAGGGAAAAAGAATACAAGAAAAAAAATATAATAAGTTACTTAAACTATACATAGTGTGATGTACTATTTACAGGTTCAACTTTTTTTAGCTTCTTGAGGCAGTTGTAAATGTACGGACATATGGAGCTAATGATACAAGTTTCATAAGGAATGCGGTCATGTCTGCCTTTTTATATGTGGAGCTTGTTAATCTGAATATATTACGGTTTGTATGTTAATTCTAACTTTGCTAATTAAAAGTGAAAGAAATATATGCCATGTATACAGCTCTTAGTTGCATGCAAAGTATTGATGTATGTATCTATTTATCATTTTGTTGGCAAACAGAATTTAACAAAATTCTTTGATTTAAGTTTAAGAAACGAGATTTTCAGTTTTTGTTGTTGTTGTAAAATTGTACTTCTTATCAAGATGTCACGTCAGTCTTTGCTGATTGGTAAAAATAAAGCCTGCAATGTTGGTCTTTTAATCATCTCAATGCTGTAAACATTTGTACACTCTTCCTCAACTTCAGTCAAAGTAATCGGGGAGTTTAAAAAATGCATTGGTGGGGTATGATGTATTCCTCATATCCTTCTCAATTTGATTTTTCAGTGTACAAATTTCCTGATAAAATTCTTCAGCAAATTCAGCTTCTGTATTGTTTCCTGCAAACAGGTCAGCAAAATCCCTGTCCCATTTTTGAAGAATCCTGTTTACATCATGAGTCAGTTTCCCATCATGGTCTATCACTTCCATAGGGATTTTTGTACTTCGCCTAGGTCCTAGTTTATTCAGTTCATTCCAAAATCGCTGTGGGTTACTGGTCTGAAGCCCCTCAAATTCAAGCGCTTGCCCCCTCTGGTGTCTACGTTTATAAAAACGAAGCTTCTTGTCAAAAGCAAATTGCTTCTCCCTAAAGTTTTTCCTAAGCTCTTCCCTAAATCGCTTGTTACCCTGACATCTTGTAAACTGACGTTCTGCCGCCCTCATTTCAGCCCATAACTTATCCAGTTCACCATTCCATAATGGTTTACCAGGGCGATACCGATTCTTATAACGGAATGCATTAATGTTTCCATCATCATCATTAGCAGCACCTGAACTAAATTCATCATGCATAATAACACAAAACGTATCGTACCTGAGGTCAAAATTTCTCAGAGTTCCATGCATAGATTGTAAATAATCTATTAGCATACACAAGTATGTAGCATTTTGCATACCATTATACATGCATTTGTGTTTTGGGGCCTCCTTTGAAACCAGCTATATGTAATATAGTTGATATAACTACCTTGATGTTTTCAAAATAAATAATATATATATATATATATATATATATATATATATATATATATATATATATATATATATATATATATATATATATATA